AGAAAGAAGAATCTTTGGGGTGCTCAGATTCCCCCTTCTTGCTTCTTTCATCGCATCCAGCCTCATTAAATTACTTCAGCTGCAGGCAGCTCTCACCCTCTGCAGCTCAGTTTGAATCGACCTGGCAGTATCTTTTGTCACAAGGGACAGGTAAGTGATTGCAAAAAGTGAATACAAGGCACACACGCAGTGGGACTGCACTGCCCAGGTGTAGTGTGGAGACACAAAAGATACAGAGACATACAAATAAATAAATTAAATAATCTAATGCCTACAGAGTGGCTCTCATTTTCTCCTTGTCCTCTAATAAGAGGTAATGAAAGTAGAGCCCCATAGCCGAGCTCCTCTCTTCTGAGAGGACACGTGAGCGCAGAGAACAGGATGCAGTTAAGACCTCTAGAATCACTGCCATCAACTGCATTGGCACTGGCAAGCGTCACACCATTTTTTCAGGATGTTTTTGCCCTCCTAAAGAAATCTTCTACCAGCTCGTCAAATTTCCGTGAGGAATTCTGCTTTAGGACATTTAAGGGAGTGAGTAAATACTCTTCTGCAAATCCAGTTGGAAAGTGCTCGTCAGAAACAAGTGTCTGGCCACCAGCACTAGCTGCTCCTGGCTGTTCTCCGCTCGGCTCTTCCTTCCCTTTCTCCTTGCCCATGTGACAAGTGCAACCTTCTTTTGAGCAGCAAGCTGACTGGCAATAGTTCTGCTGAGCAGCCTCAACACCTGTGAACTCTTCAGCATTCTCTGTGTATTTCTCTAGGGACTCAAAAACAACTCCTTGGGACACACAATGCCGGGCAGCTCTTTTCAAGAGGCACTTGGGCTCCTGCCCCTTCCTTTTGCTTTGCTGCTGTACAGACTCTTGCACTGGCTTTGGGATTTTGAGGTCAGGAAGTGCCTGGGGGACAGAACTTAGATATTCCTGAAAGTAAGCCTGGCACATGCTGCCCTTCACGATTGGAATGACCGAGCAAGGTTTCAGCCACTGCACAAACTCGCACAGCTCCGAGAAGGATGAGTGATCCGAGTACGGGATGGGGTGGATGTTGGGGTGGGTGACCTTCACGGGCCTGCCGGTCGGGAGGATGGCGATGGTGGGGTGCAGCGTGTTCCAGCTGACAAGGGTATCTGAGCGGATCTCGGCGACGTCCACAGCACGGATCCAGCCAGCCCCCTCCTCGGCGGTGAACACATCAGGCAGCTCC